GAAATTTTGAGGCCAGGGCCACAAAGATCTTGAACTACTTCATCATGTAAAACTTAAGCTTGGACAACTCTCTCTCTCTCTCTCCGCTCTGTTTGCCTGCCTCAACAGCTAAGGGAAAGAAACAACAATCAAGAAGACATTTTTATGATTTTATTTTAACTGTACTCGTAAATTTAGCGATTAGTGGACGGCGCGGTCGCGGTTCTCTGGTCGTTGGACCCGCTGGCTGCCGCTGCTGGTATACCTCCTTCTTGAACCCGTCCATTCTCCATTTTCCATCTTCCACAACTTCGCCCTGCCGCGCCCTTCTCTCCACTCCTCCCCACACACACATATCAATTCGCGTGGTTCACGCGCCCAACGAGAGCGGCACTCCATATAGCATATATCTTGTTTTAATGCCCTTTGACAGGGTATACCATAAATACCACACCAGAAGCATTTTAGCCCCCCCCCCATAAACTATCTTTAATTGCAAAATTCCTTCAGAAAATGGTTACCAAAAGTTTTAAACTTGAACAGAAACTAACAATGGATTTAATTAGATTTAGCTAGTGCTTTTTCATGGTCTTTTAACTATATAATGATCACATTTATGGGGGATTTCGTGAAGTAAAAGCATCAACTAAGTTTATTGATAATTTATGGTCCATGCTAAATTTGAGTAATATTATATAAATTGATCAGTTTATGGATTGTAAACTTTATTAAAAAATGGCATCTAAAGCTTCGGCTTGTTCCAGCTAAAAAGTCGAACTTGTTTTTCTGCTGCTGCTGCTGCTGCCTTTTAGCCATTGTCGCTGCCACCGCCCCCCGTGCTAACCCTCCACAAACAATGAGACGGCACTCTGCAGACAGACAGACCAGACAGACAGACATGCAACTCCTGCCACAACAGGGCAGGGCGGCAGAGAGGAGGAAGAAGAAAGGCCGCCGTCTGGTCATTGCCATAGCCATAGCCAGAGCCCAGAGAGCCCAGAGATAGTTCCACTCTACTCTCTTGTCTCGTCTGGGCCCGTTTGGGTCGGGTCTCCTTGTCTTTATCTCTCTCTCTCTCTCTATGTCTCTGTCCCTTTCTATCGCACTTTATGTCACTGACTGTCTGCTGATGTTTGCTTTTGCAACATTGTTGCACAAGTTTATTTTTAGACACATTTCCATGATGTTCCGCTTTTTTTTTTTGTTTTTGTTTTTTTGCTCGCCCGCTTCGGCGACGCTGACGTTGCACATTGGTAACCCAAGGATTATTGACATTAAAAACGAATTACTTGGGAAAAAAAAGTCTTCAAATGGGGATTTTGAATGAATTCGAATGGTGAGAGAGAGAGAGGAGCGAAGAGAAGTTCTGCCTGCAATTTATGGCCCTTTCTATTATTACTTTTTGAATGAAATATGTAAATAGATGAAAGTTACTCCAGGAGTTCCTGCATTCAAAATTAATAATGTTTTTTCATAGCTTTAAATCACTAAACCACTTCATTTTTAATTGATAATAAAAGATAATAATTATACAAAAATTCATTTAAACCTTTTGGAAAGTTTCGCAAGGTATCAAACGAACCAGTTTATGATCAACGTAAAAAATGATCGATTGTTAAATGTTGACAAGCATTCGCTTTGCACATAAAGTTTGTGTTGAACAAGCCCTAAATTTGCTTGCATTTAAAAGTGATCTAAAAATGTTAATTTAGTGCAAAATTATTCCAGTATTATAGTCTAGGCAGCATGAGATAAATTAGTGTTAGCAGCTGTCTCTCCACAGTGTCATTAGTTTCAAAAACTCATTTCTAGAGTACAATTCCGAATTATCTTTGTAACTTTCTGTAGAAACTTTTAGTTTTCTTATACGTATGTAATTAGTTTTTCGGTTAATTTTGCTAATCGATGGTTCGGTCCCAATGTGCGCCTTTTGGCTGCATTTTAGTTTTATTTTCTTTAATTTGTTAAGTATGTATAAATTTTTTTTTTGTTTTTCGTGTTGTTGTTGAGGTTTCGTGAGGTAATTAATTTTCGAGTTTATTTTCTTTTGGTTGCCTTCTGATTGTTGTTTTTGCTAAATTTATGTATTTATTAGGCCCCCCTTCGCATGCATAGGCGGTGGCTTTAAATTTTAATGGTTTTTTAATTAGGCGGCGCCTTTTGATGGGGAGTGAGTCCGTCGCTCGCGCTCTCTCTCCGGGACACACCCCAACTACTCTACTATCTTCCCTCCACTATTACATCTCTCACTCTCGCTCATTAGCTGCCATCAAGAAATACTACTCCCCGTAAAGTACAGCTACTACGACTAGTAGTGTGTTGCAACCACATTTTACAACTTTTACAACCGCATGTGTAATTCTTTTTATTGCTGCAACAACCCATTCTCCTCCAATCCACTTCCTCTGCTTCCTCTTTGCGCTGCGCTGCGGCATGGCGTCTGCGTCTGCTTTGGGCCTCCTTTTTACGAGACACAGACTGCTAGTATATTTTGGTAGTCACTGTACCACATTTCTACACCAGCAACAACAACAACAAAAACAACACAGCAGCAGCAGCAGGAGTGCGGGCAGGGTAGAGTAGAGACGTCGCCCCAGACAAGGGCCAACGACATCGACATCGTTTCTGCACTTCACACAAACAGACACACACACACACACACACGTACACACACACTCGCGCACACTCCCTCTGGGCTGATACAAGAAGGGCAGAGCGAGACAGACAGCAGTGCGCCTTCGTTCCATTCATAAGCGACGACCGACGAACGACCGGCGCTTCGTTTTGCCTGCACAAAAATTTGGCGGCGGCTGTGGCTTTGTGTGGGCGTGTGCCTATGCGAGTGTGTGTGTGTGTGAGTGTGTTTTTGGGCGAGTGAGTGCAGTTGTTGCTCTTTTCATTTTACACTAGACAAAATGTTGTTGGTTTTAGTTTTTGTTGTATTTTTTTTTATTTCCTTTAGAGGAGTTTCCGCCCTTATCACACTCACGCACACACACAGACACAGCCTCTGCCGACTGCATCTGTCGCATGCATCAGACATGCGCTCTCACTAAGCGAGTCTCTCTCTCTTTCTCTCTCTCTCTCTCTCTGTCTCTCCCTGTCTGGCGGCCTTTTCGTCCTGTGTCTGCATGTTTTTATACGCATTGCGTTTTACACGTCTATCCGCATGACAGAGAGAGAGAGAGCAAAATGCAGACGCCGACACTCACTGTGTGCCGTGTCTCTCTGTCTCGCTCCCACTCGTCGCATTCTTGTTATTAGATTTCAGTTTGTTTTCATACACATTCGCTCGTTTTCACACATTACGCTTCGCGTCAATTTTCGGGGTCAACGTCATCTCGAGGGTTGCGGCGCTGCTTTAGCTGCCCGCCGTCGTCTGCTGCTCTGCTCTGCTCTGCTGCTGCGCTTCTTGCACGCTTTTGTGCATGTCTCGTTTTTGTTTTTTTTTTTTTTTGCCATGCCATTCTCTCTCTTTCTCGCTCTCTGGTTGTTTGCTGCTGCAAGCACATTTTTAATGCCGGCACTGTCGGTATCTCGCTCTCTGTCCGTATTTGTTTGTGTGTGTGTGTGTGTGTGTGAGCGCGCGTTTTTGTTGTGTTGACCAAAAATACATTTTAGCCAAAAATATTTTTGCAAGTTGTAAGCAAAATAAAACTGGCATTTAGTGGGTACCATTAATTTATCTTTGCTGCAGCTCGCTTCTCTCCCGTTACCCATTCTCCATTGTCTAGCTCTCTGGCTGGCAATTAACTAATTTATTTATTTATTTTCGCTTTACTTCAGCAGTTTTCTCCCAACTATTGCGCCTCATTCCCCTCTTTCTGAGTGCAATTCGCGTGCCGCACACAACGCCCCACGTGACTGTTCGGTGGGAAGAGAGAGTTTGAGAAACAGTCAGTAAGAGAGAAAGAGATAGGTGGGGAGCGTCTGTCTGGCCTCGTTTATGGCTCAAGAGAGGGTTGGGGTTGTTACTTTTAGGCTTGGTAATGCTACCCTATACGTAGTTGTATAGATTCTTTAGCGGACATCCATAATTCTGAAGTAAACATAGAATAAGAGAAAATAGTTAAGGAATAGTCCAGAAATTTATTACCATTCTCGATACCGTTCATGAACTATTATAAATGTGCGAATATAATTGCTCTAATAATACTTAAGTTTGTTAGGAAATATATTTAAGTTTTATGGTTTAAAATTGGTAAATTTCAAAAACAATTTCAAGTACCCTTCCCTGATTTATTCTTTCTTTTGAAAAATCGTCAATAAAATTCATACATTTCCTTGGAAATCCGAGGGTAGTCCCTTATACCTTATTTGTAGTATCATTGAGCTCTAAACTGTTCCTACTGCATATTTTTGTTGTTGTTTGCCTTTCGGTTACGTTTGGGCTTCATTCCTTTTTTTTTTAGACTGCACTTTATTTTTTACACAGACAGAATATGTTTTTTGCGTTGTTGTATAAAAAGGCGTGGCTGTTTATGCTACTTCTTGCTGCACTTTTTGACGCTGATGTAATAAGTTGTTGGGTTTATTGTTTGATAAAGTTTTTTTTTGTATTCTCGATTTAGTTCATATTTTATTTATATTATTTATATTCCGCCTTGTAGTGCACTTTTTATCTATTACTTGGCGCGAAAGTTGTTGCTGCTGAATTATCTGGGTGGGGCCTAATGGTTATTTCTGAGAGAATTGTGAGAGTTGTTTTGGACTGTGTTGCATTTTTAGGTGGAGCTAAATTGCAGCAATATTTTTTTTCCTTGGCTTGCAAGAGATTTAATGGAATTCCTTAAGGCCATAAAGATTGAGAAAAAAAACAAACAAATATAGACTGCTAAGAAAGGTGTGTACTGTACTGTACTTTATTGTGTTTGAGGGAATTTCTGGCAGGTCATGTAATGCTTCAAAAAATATTTAATTTCTTTATATTTTAAAACTTTTAAAAATTTATCCCCACCATGTCTTAACGTAATAATTTATATTCCCTTTCTCTCTTCCTCTTTCTCTCGCTCTCATTACAGATCAACAACAACAGAATGCATCATTGAGATCACATGAAGATCTGAGATCTGATCTGATTCGAATGCCGCGAAGGTGTGAAAGTATAAAGTCATGTGAACAAAAATGTGAGAAAATGTTATGTGACAAAAGCAACAACAACAACAACATAACAAAAAAATATTTGTAAAGTGCCAGCAACATAGGCTAAAAAAAATGATAACCTAAATAAATCAAATTGTTAGACAAAGAAAAAACCAAAATAAAAGAAAGGAGACAGTGTGAGAGCGAAAGAGAGAGAGAGAGAGTAAAAAGAGAGGCCGAAGTCGATCAGAAATTTCGATTAGAAAATTCCTCAAATTTCGTGAGCCGGCGCTTCTCTCCCAGCATCTCTCTCTCCCCCCACACAACACACGTTGTGTGTGTGTGTGTGTGTGTGCTAGTGTGCTATTTGCTCTCTTAACCCGAAAATAATACTCTGGAAAATTACAGTTGTGTGTGGTTTTTTTTTTTTGGTTTTGTTTCGAAAGCTTTTCTTTGGGGCGCATGCATGCAGCTGTAAAGAAAGTGCAGCAGTAAGATATTATCAGGGAACGTGTTCGAAATTTATAACAACAATAAAGGAAAGAGTGAGACGGAGGGCGATAGATCCCATCCATAAGGTAAGTTCCATTCCATTCCATTTCTATTTAGTTTCTTTCTGTGTCGCTCCATCGTTTGTGCTTAATTTGTGTCACATTCCAATGTATTTGAAAAAAAATAAAGAGGGGACGACCTGGAATTTTCTTGAGAAATTTATGCTGATTTGATTGTCAATAGGAGGGAACAGGAAAAAAAAAGAAAAAACAGAAAATGTGTGAACGAAGGCTAGGGGCACAGTAGTGGGTGGGGGTGTGCCGGATATATCATCCAACGAAGCCTCCAATATTTCACTTTGGTATTTCCGCATGGCCCAGTTCCAAATAACTCGACGGCCACAATAAATATCGGAAAAATTCCGGATGGAGCAAAAAATAAAACCCCAAGCAGGGTGGGGAAAATACTGGATTGCTAAGAGAGGGAGAAGAATGGTGTTGGTGGTGGGCGTTGGATTCTAAATAATGTGTAACAAATGGCGCGTCTGTCGCAACAACAACTGCAATAATAATATCTTGGCAGCAGCAGCGACTGCTCCAGCAGCAGCATAAAAACTAGAAATTGCCATACCAACGCATGGAATACGCTACCTAGAAGTAGCTAGAAGACAGGGGATCTTTGACAGACCACTGAGTCAAGATATTTCTCTTAAATAAATACTATAAGGATCGTTCTATAAATTGTAGCCCCAATGGCGGGATGCCTTGGCTGTCGTTGGCAAGGGAAAAAACCAAAGCAGACCCAAACCGCATTAGCAGTTCCATTTCCAGTTCTAGATTCAGACCACAGAGCCCCCAGCCAAGACAGGCAACGGACCGCATCACACAGTCACTCAATTGCACACTCACCGTCTGGGCATTTCCCACCAGTTGTGGAGCACAGACACAGGAGCCACTCTTGAGACGTTGCAGCGGAGAGTGGAGAGTGGCAGTGGCACCATGTGGCATGTGGCATGCCACTGCAATTGCACACATTTCTACATAGCACACACATATATTGCACTAATGTGTTTCTTTATACGTTGTCGGGCATCGAATGGGGACGGGGGAGACCGGAAATAGTTTCAATTGGAAAGGCAAAGCCAGAAACCCAAGTCTCTGGTCCGCTGCCAGAGAGTGAAAGAGAGAGAGAGAGAGAGCGCCCAGAGATCTGTTGGTCAATGATAAGGCTCTAAGTGGCTTTCCATTGATGCGAATTCTGTGTTGAAAGTTCCATTGAACTTTCCACATTCGTACAAGGAATACTTGAGATGGACTATCTGATTTTTGGTGCACTTTGATGTATGCATATTTTCAGCATTTATAGTAGATATCTTCTATGGCATTTATAATAGATATTTCTGGCATTTATAGTAGATATATTCACTGGCATTTATAGTAGATATTTCTGGCATTTATACATATACATAAATTTTCCTAGCATTCATTGCGACTTCAGGAGATTTATTCATCGATAACTGAGGACAGCCAAAAGTGCAAAGAATAATGCCAGAGAATGCCAGAACAAAATGCATGTCGTGTGCCATTTACCTGAAATGTACTTCAATCTGTCCCACGTCAAACATCAAGCTTAATACATTTTTAATAATTAATATTTAATTAATAAATTAAATACATAATTATTGCAAACATACATATGTACATCCTGATTTTTGTTTACAAAAATACATCAATCCTGATCCTCTTTCATTCTTCTTGCTTGAATTATCGCTTAAGCTGTTTTTTTTTATGATCAGTTTTACGGCTGCTTTCGATCCTCCCCTCTTGTATCTCTTTCCAGGCTCCTTTTGGCTCCTTCCAGCAGCTCAGCAGCTTCTTTCATTCAGATATTCGTTTGCAATGCGTTTTATGTGCGTTTGGGATCCTCCTTCACCCCCCATTCAGGTCTGTGGAGAGTCTTGAGCTTTTATGGCCAACTGACAGGGCAAGCCACGCCACGCCACACCACACCACACCCCACGTGTTGCTTGTCAGTCATTCCCTCAGAGGCAGTTCCAGCCCCAGACACCAGACATTGATTGAGATAGCACCCCTGCCCCTGCCCCAGCAGCAATGGTTTCCCTGAGGAATGGGCGCGGAGCGGTGGGGAGGGCAGGGTGTCGTCGTCCAACTGTCTCTGGGCATCATTTCTCCTACCGTTTTAGGGGCGTGCTGCTGCTGCTTGCTGCCTGTCTCTTCTTGTGCCCGCCCCGTGCAGACGCGCACATTCTGTCAGTTGCTCAATTAGACGCACTTCCGTTACATAGCCAACAGTCTCCATCTCCATCTCTATCTCTGTCTCTTCTCCACACTAGCTGCTGTTTTCCTTGCCTCCTTGCCTGTTCCGTTCTATGCTGTTGCCCTTTGTCCCTCTCTTCCCTTCCCCTAGCACCACTGCTGCAGTTTTTGTTGCTTTTGTTTTTTTTTTTTGTTTTTCTAAATTTATTTCCGTTTTTCCCGTGCGTGTGGTGTGTGTGATTGATGGCTGACTGCTGCTGCTGCCTGCCTGCCTCTCTCTGCCTGCGTCGACTGCAGTCGTTTAAGGCCCTTCCCTTCTCTTCCCTTCCATTCCCTTTCATTTTCGTGCGATGTAACCAGAAATAAAAATGATAATGAAAACGAAACTGAAACGAAAGTCGAAACAATGTCACGATTAACATTTACGCAATAAAAACATTCATAAAAGTAGCAAGCAAGGGCGTAGATCGCACCATTTGATACCCTTTGATGCTTTTCGAATTAAATTGAGGAAATTTATACAGGAATATTTTGTATATAAAAATGATACACTGTACTTTGCAATTTTACCTTGTGAAGTAAATAAATGTTCGCTAACAACTTTACCTAATGACATTATGGTAATCCGATTTGTATCGAATTTTGTATACGATTTCGGTTTGCTCATATGAAATTGGAATCTTGAATTTGTATCATTGAATATCCATAATTTCTATGGAGATTTCAATTTTATGTTTTCTGCATTACAAACATTTTTTGGGAAATGCTTATACCCTTCCAGCTCTCTAGGGCATGAAAAACTGTATTTGCGGGCACGATCCTGTCCTGTCCTACGATTCGAATTTCGAATATCCCTTTGCCTCTTCTGGCACGCCCTTTCACCTCTCATTCATCATGCGGTGGCAGCGGCGCTCTCTTTGGCTTTCGCATGTGTTTCTTCCTATGCGCTTATCCCCAGGAGACAGTTAACATGCCGTAAAATGTACATACTTTCCCCCTCTTTTCTTGCCTTTGCCAGTCAACTTATTTTGCTTGGCTGCCCCACCTCTCCTCTCCTTCTATGCTGTTGTTGTGCTTTTGTTTTCAATAAACTAGTAGCAACAGCTGCAGAGGCAAACGCAGAGGCAGGGTGTAAAGTGCTGTGCCACATTCCAATGTTGAGGGGCAGACCTTCGTCTGAAGCAGATTCTTGTTGTTGTTGTTGTTGTTGTTGTTGTTGTTGTTGCAGTCAAGAATGCCAAAGAAAGAAGCGGCAACACCATCTCTCTCACTCTCTGAGAGCATTTTGCGCCATGTAAAAATCACGTTTTAAGTTATATGTGAACGGCGCGTGAATGAGAGAGAGCAGAGCAGAGCAGAGTAGAGTCGAAGTCGCAGTCCAAGTGGAGTTCGAATCGAATGAGACGACGATGCACAGAAGAGGGCAAATTAAAGAAAATTGCCTGATCGCAATATAAGTTATTCTTCTTGCAGTGAAATTTCCTTAATTCAAACCTACCCCAGTCGTAATTTTTGAAACTCTTTAACAAATAATTTGTTCCCCCGAAATATTCGGTTTTTTTTTGTTTGTACATGCAATGTGGAAACTTAATATTATTGAAAACATTACAAAATATTCCCCTTTACAAAGACTACCCCCTAAAATATAACAAATAAAGACTATAAGGACCCTCAGAATAAAATGAAAATTTATGCGCGTCAGATAATTTTGAATGCAATAAATATCATAGATAAACCACCAAAAACGCATTCAAAAACGAGAGTCAACGATAAGGAAAGAGAAGAGTTATAAATTACAGCAAAAGAAAAAAAAAACCAACAAAAAAGTGCCATAAATAACCGTATTCTTTTCCATCTGTTTCATTTGGTTCTCGTACAATCCGACAACAACAAGAACAACAACCCTTTTAATGACAATTTGTCCCCGCACTCTTTTTCTCGTTAAAACAAAGTTTAATGGCCCCTCAATTAATTTACAAGAAATAAATAACAAAGCAACAAAAAGAGTCGTGTGGAGTGGTGTGTGTCTCTTTATGTGTGTCATTAGGGTGCATTTTGAGTTATACACCTTAAAAAAAAAGAGATATACATATGCACAAAAATATAAACAGAAAGAGCGAGGGGCCCAAACATTTCCGCATTCCATAAAGAGAGTTGAGACAGGGCAGGGCAGGGCACTGCGCATGCGTAGCGCCTCTTAAAGACAGAAGACCGACCTCGACCCACAACTCGTGTGGCGCCCATAAAAACGTCATCGTTTAACATAAAACAAAAAAAAAAAAAAAAACAAAAAAAAATCCCCCAGTACACAATGCATTTTGCCAT